AAAATATGGAGTTTCTTTTAACAATATGTTTTATTGTAGGAAATCTGGGGGGGCGGGGATTAAAGGGAGAAAAGCACTCAGAGCCACACAAAGGCAGAAAAACCCATGTTTTGATGGTTTCACCCATGTTTTGACGGCTTCACCCATGTTTTGATGGTTTCTGGATTTTTCTCTGTGTTCTTGCACAGTGAGGTCCTGGGTGGTTTCACACAACATGGTAAAGAACTTCCCATTTCAAGATATTAATCAGAAACCTTGTTCAAAGCATTCCTACCCTCAAACAGGCTGCTTGCAAACACAGCAGATCTGATGCACCGGGACGAGGGTCCTTCGGGCTTGGAGGGGGCCTCTCCGGATGGGGCAAGGCAGCCTGAGGTCCCCCTCATCACTGGGGAAGCGGGGGTACCGGAGGGTGAGTGGGGCAGCAGCAGACTGGGCTGGGGGCCCGGGGACGGTGGGCTCTGGAGCTGGGCCAGCCGGGCTGTGGGGGGCTCATGCTCGTAGGACCTGCCTCGTGGGTGGTCCCAGCTCCCGGCCGGGTCAGCACCTCCTTCCTCATCGAATCCCGAGGAACAGCATCACCAAGCACAGACCAAGGTCCATCGTCCATGGCGTGGCCACCGCTTTCGCCGCGTGGGAGACCCTGGCCTTGGTCTGCCGTGGCCCCGGGCTCACACCTCCAGGCACGGGCTCTCTGAGCTCCTGGACCGCCCCCCCACCCCGGGATTCCCAGTGGGGTGTTCCGGTGCCCACCTGAGGGCACGGCTGCCCCTCACCAGGCTTCCCAGGAACCTGTGGTTCCTGTGGGTCCGGCCAGCTCCCCCATCCACCTGGGGCCTGGGGAGCCCGGGCCCACCCTCCTCTGCAAGCGGTTAATTCACAATCACAGCTAAAGCAGCCCTTCCAGGTTGATCTGGATTAAGAAATAGGCAGGTTAATAAAGCTAAAATGTTCACAGGCACTTGTATATAAATTTCTATTAAGTTCCCTCATTCAATGCTGGTCTCTAATAGTTTAA